AAGGTTATAGGCGCTTCCTATCACTTCCTCGTTCTCGGCGTCGGGCCGGAACACTTCTGGCGGGGTTTGTCTTCTCACCGGGGACTTTTCCTTGGTTAGCCGGGGCATGAAGTCGCCGTACACTTCGGGCGGCGCTTCGGAGAACCTCACTTCCCGTCGGCCCTGGCGCGGCGACGAAGGAGCGCCGTGCGCACGCGCGTCGCCGCCGCCGCCATCTTGCGGAGAGAGCCGGCGCCTCCCCTCGCGAATGGGGGCTCTGGGCGTGACGTGCACACCCCATCCTTCCCCCACGGGCTCTGCCCTCCGCCCCTCTCCCGCCATCGCTGTTGACGTATCTTGAGTCGGTGGCGAGGCTCGCTTGGGGGCGGCTAGATGCTCCTGTCACCGAGGGCAGCGGTGTCTCGGGTTGTTGGGCTGTGGTCGCGGCGATCAGGGAGGCAGCTGAGAGTCGCCCGGGCCGCCGCCCGCGTCGTCGCTGCCGCGCTGCGAACTTGCCTCTGTGCCCATGGTGGCTCCGCAGGGCTGTGGCAGAGGCAGGGACGGGTCTGGGTCAGCTGTTCCCAGTCACTCCCGCCTCCTGGCTGGAGGCGCCAAAGAGGTGGAGAAGAAGGACGTCGCTGCCCTGGGCTTTAAGAGAGGGCAAGGGGCATCGGGAGGGACAAGTGACTGGGCAAGTTGCCCGCCCTAACCCCAGCGCTGCCGGCGCCCGGAGACGCCCGCCCAGGCCGTCGTCCCGAGTCCCGGGCCGGCTGGACGCGGAGGAGGGCGGAGAGCACAGAGTTAACGAGCTCGCCCTGAAAACTGTTGCGCAGTTTTCCTGGGACCTGGTTTTTGGCGTTTTTGGTTTTTTTTTTTTGGATCGACTGCCACCTTGGCCCTTCCTTGTGAATGTCCATATTAAGAATGAAGCTTAGAAAGAATAACTTTGGCACATGCCCTTGTAGGACAACACTTTGCAATTTTCGTTTTTCCTGCGGTCGGCTAGCCAGTTGCCAGTGGTAGGGTAGCGCGCTCAGCGCTTGGCTGCACTGTAGCAGATGGGTCGCGGCTGGGGTGGAGGAGAAGCGGAGGCCGACTGCCCGTAGAGATGCCCAGGAGCAGGGAGGGCTGCTCTGCCCTGTCGCTGTGAGTCCGCGCTGACCACCAGACTGCCGGGGGCGACGGCTGGGTTTTCGGAGTCCGCGGGACTGTGGAACTCGTGCGGTGGATGTCCATTTGCAGACGCGGGCATCGCACACGTTCCTGTAGGCGCTCTTCCAGCAGCAGGTCCAGGAAGGCAGTAGCGCCGCTCTAGGCACGCCATGTGAATAAGTACTGTTTATTAAGAGAATCGCATAGTTTTAAGTTGTCACTTTGTCATTTTGATCTGGGTAGGACATGGTATACTTAGGGCTCTTGTGTTTACTGGATAAAGCAGCACGATAAAAGCCCTTTGTTTTTCTGCCTTCTAGCACACTTGTGGATTTGGACAATCTGCAAATATCTAACCAAATTTACTTAAGTTAAAAGAAAGTCAGTTTTCATTAGGGTAGTCCGAATAATTATTGAAAGTGTTACCTTCACTATCCCACTTGTCTTCTTGGAGGGTTTTATGATTTGATTTTAGTAAGTAGATTAAACATTTTTGCAACTTGGGTACTACTTAAAGCGAAGGATACTGACAAATGTGAAGGTTTTATACAATAACCATAAGGTGTTTCTTGTATTCGCTGCTCCAAATGGGGACAAATTTCAGTTTCATCAAGTGTTTTGGTGTGTATGTGTTCACTATTCGTCTAAATTTGGCAGCAGATACCAGAAATTAAATGCTTTAGAGAGTTGCCCAACCCGTTAAAACTGTTGCTTAGCCTTGATATTTTATTACTTAGTTTCACTTGATTATATACCATGCAGTCAACTAAACTAGAGGAACGGTAACAAGAGGAGTTCTCTTAATCTTTAAGGAAAATCAAACACACAACTCTTCCTTGTTAGCCTAGGTTAGGAGGTATATTTGAAACATTTGCAGGACAAAATGCTGAAAAGTAATGATACTTGGTAACACCTGGTATTTATTTATTTATGGGGTTAAAACTTACTTTACACAGCAAGTTAGGTTACCGCTTAACAATGACTACATATTGTTCATGACATTGGTTACATTTTGTTTGAAGTAATGCCCTCTATTAACTTGTTACTCATTACCAACACACACAGTGAATGTTTGGTAATAAGTATAATTATTAAAGGATATAAAATTTTATTAATTACTACACAAAGTTCATGTTATGAATATTAATGGATAGATTAAGAGCCTCTTTAAAATTTTTACCAGGAAGGTAACTAGATGGGCACAGAAACTTGGATACAAGCTTATAAAACTTAGGTTTGAGGAGAGAATGATGAGAGGCTGTATATATTATTAAATAATCAGCACATGTATTAATTTGTAATTAAAATACTTTCAAATGATTTAAGACCAACTTTCAAAAGAAATGAGAGAATCTGATGCAAAAACAGAGACACACTTACTTAGGATTTTCCCTCATTCAGGTAGCTGCATCGCACACCAAGCAACTTTATGAATACCAAACTTTCACTGCAAAGTGTAAGGGTTAACTTCTTATCTAACTAGACATGCTGCTATATTTTCCAAACTACAATGGTGACTCTGGAGAGGTGACATCACAGAGACCATAGACCCATAGCTAATATTACTAGGAAACTGCTGTGCCAAAGCTAAGAGGAGGAGAATTGGCCATTAGAGTTACTAAGGGTTCAGTTATGTATCCTATGCAAAAAAAGATAATCACCCTTAAGGAAATTGCCATATTTCTAGAAGACTTGCAGCCATGAATGGATTCCCACCCATGGAGACTGTCTGTATCGGTCAGAATTAAACTGAGCCCAGTGACTTTCTGAGACTAACTTTACCCGAGTTACAGTCATGTGCAACTCATCTTTTTCCCAAGGAGCATATGGTGGTTTTGAACTGCTGACCTTGCTTTTAGCAGCTCATTTCATGTAATTCAGAGTAGATGATTGCATTAACTCATATCACCCAGCCAATTATTGATAGTGAATTTCTAAGTAAAGCAGTTAACAATAAAACCTGTGAAAACCCTGGCAAAACCTACATAAGGGAGAAACCTGTCAGGAGAATGAAAATGCTTGTTTTTCACTAAAATGTGATAGAAAAGTAAGAACTGCATCCTGTCACAGGCAGAAAATTTCTGACTCACAGGTTACATGCTTTTAAATGATTCATCTTTTGTGATAATTGATAAAAATAATTTTTGTACTTGAGTTTATTTGGGGTAAATAGAAATCCCAAAGAGTCCTGGTAATGCAACAGTTAAGCACTTGACAGCTTACCTGAAACTGGGAGGTTTGATCCCATCCAGCCGCTCCACGGGCAAATTGATGATCTACCATAACCATTACAGCCCAGAAAACCATATGGAATAGTTCTACTCTGTCTCAGGGGGCCTCCATGAGTTGAAGTCATTTTGACTGTACTTAACAAGGAATAGACATCCAGTCATTTACTGATAGGAAAGTGAATGTCTTTGGGGTTATAGTTTAGCAGAAAAGGTAAAAATTTTTAATAAGGAAAGGTGATTAAAATATTACAAGAGCAAGTGGATTACAAATATATTAGCTGCTCCATTCCTCTGCCCTCCCCCTGCATTTTCGCAAGAGATAGAAAAACATTTTAAATCCTGTTAAATGAAAATGACTGCTGGAAATGTTATGTTGAGATTACGAAAACAGGAGGTGAATGAAATATAATACATAAGAAGGGGCTTCAGAAATTTTGTGGGAAAATTCCACCATCTTTTCATTCCATTTTCCCGTTCTTTTGGAAGTTCCCTTTCTTCCTTCCCTTTATTCTTTCTTGAATTAGAAATCGCAATTAATGAACACAGTCAAGTGGTGTGCCCCAAATCTTGTGACTGCTGCTAAAAGAGGTGAAGGCACTGAAAATCAAATACTATAGGGATAATTCAACAAATCTGTACACTTCTGCTGTTCTATCCAGGCCTCCTGCTCTAGGTGTTGTGGATTTGGCAGTGACCAAGATAAACCAAAAGCACCCTCACTACTCTTCTTGGAGTTGATGATTTAAGGAAGAAGCCAGACAAAAATCAGTGTGCTAGTCATGTGTGTTATGGGGAGAGGGGGATACATACGTACATGTAAGTAGAAATCTAGGTTGTCCTGAATGGGTCTAAGAAACTGGAAAATCTGAATTTTCGGCCTACTTAGCTTTGTCCTCCTCGGGCAATCGCTTCCCTTCTCCCACTTTTTACATTGATAAAATTTAGATCAAAATAACTACCTTTTCTTGATCGTGAACTAATACCATTGAGTAGATAATCGCAAGGTACTTCAGCTTATTTACTCACAACAACCTTATGAATCAGGTAGTGTTGTCTTCACTTGACACATGAGCAAAGCCGAGGCATGCTAACTAACGACTGAGGACACAGTTAACGACAGGACGGAAGCACAGAAGCGGGATTCTAAATCGCGTCATTATCATCTGAGCCTGGCTCCTCACTAACGTGGCTTTTCCAGCCGTGAACTTCAGATTAGAAGGGTCAAGGTTGTCGGACTCAAGCCGAGATGCCTGCAATCCTGGGTTCAGGATCAAGCAACATCAGAGACCTCGCACACGCGTGATTCCGCTGCGTTCAGGTGCCGGGTTTCCGAAGCTCGGTCTCCCGGGCAGCAGCGGGGAGGAAGGGGCGGGGCCAGGAGACTACCAGTCCCAGCATGCCGCGGGCGGCGCCGCGCGGCGGAGGTCGGCGTCACGTGGCCTGCGCTGGGGCCGCGGGCGGTGCACAGTTGCTGAGGCGGCCGTGGGGTGTAGCCGGTGTTGAGGAGCAGGAAGAACACTTCGAAGGCTCCCCCCTCATTGGCAGTCGATGATTTCAAACACCTCTAGAATGTGTAAGTAAGCGAAATGAATATTCTACGTTCCCATGTTTTAATATTTGAACTGATACCTTCTTTTGAAAGCGCTTGGAGAAACGATTCCTCCCTACCCCCACCACGCTACAGCAAAAAACATGAAATGGCTTAAGGTGGGGGTATATTTTTGTTTGGGAGTTAAAAAAGAGAAACAGGATCGTAAAATCATTAAAAGAGATCATGTGAGTTGTTGAATTTCTTTTAATCTTTAAGTTGAGAAGCCGAATTTCTATAGGGTTCAAAGTGTAATTCGAAAACTCCCAGTGCAGGTAGTTAGTACTACTCTACATGCGAATAGAAAGTGAATGTACCTCACAACATTCCCGTCATTCATTTTAATCTTTTGAAAATAGTGCCTTTTTAAATTTTTATTTTTAAAGCCTTAAAAAAAGGGCTCGCCGAGTTTTTTCCAACTTACGGTAACCCTTTGTATGTAGAGTAGAAGTGCACTTTATATGGTTTTCAAGGTGTGACCTTTCCGAAGTGGATGGTCAGGCCTATCTTAAGGGGCGAATTCCAAAGGCCAGGTTTTTGATAGTTGTTGGCTGCTTACCCGTTTGCATTACCTTGGGACTTCGTTTAAAGCCTTAATGGTGCTAAAAAGGTAAACACTTAGGTTTTTGAAGACCCTACAACTGACTTTTTATTTATCTAGTATAGAAAAAAATTTTAAAAGACAGGGCGGTAGCATGGAATCTGACTCAGAGCCGCTCTGTAAGGTTTCCAAAGCGATGGAAGCTGATCCCCACGTTTTTCTCCTGCAGTTTGCCTGGCGAATTGGAACAGCAAACTTTGCGTAGCCAAGCCCTTGGCCACTGTTCCACCAGGGTTTCCATATTATATATGATCTCCGCTTTCTATGTTTTATGCCCGATAAAAAAGTTAACCCCTTGTTTCCTCTTTGAACAAAGTTCACCAAAGCCCTGACAAGAACTACTTGTCAGCAGCATTTAAGTGCTAGACTTTATCCTATGAATGCTGATAAAGAAATGGGTTACCTCTGATTAAACATACTGTCTTGGTTTCATTTTTATCCGGCCCCAGCTTAAAGAAATTATTTTGGATTTGTGGGAGATATCTTTTCTCATTAATTTTTTTTCAGAATTAAAATCATGGCGGCTCTCCTTATTTATCTGTTTCATCTTATTTTATTTTAGCACGTGATTAATGTGTACACAGCCAGCGGAAAACCATTTAATAGAAAAAGGAAGTTCATGGTAAGCTGAAAAATGAAACCATTTGCCTTTGAGTTGATTCTAACCTGTGGTGACTGTGGATGCTTCCTGTGGGAAGCAGATCACTGGACCTGTTTTCTAAGGCACCTCTGAGTGGCAGTCCAATTGCCAAACTTTTGACTAGTAGTTGAGTGCTTACTGATTGAGCGTTTACCTTTTTAAGCTACCCAAGGAAATCCAGTATATAAATAAAACTTTCACTGTCATTGACTCAAAGCTACTCATAGGACAAAGTACAACTACCCCTGCGACCCCTGTGGGTTTCCAAGATAAGGAAATAGAAAGCTTCATCGTTGTCCCCAGAGCTGCTCACTAACTCACTGACAAGGAGTCAGTTCCACCCCCTGCTAGAGTCGGGTGACTAGTACTTGGTTTGGGTAGAACTTCTGTGAGTTTTTGAGACTGTAACTCTTTACAGGAGCAGAAAGTGTGTCATCTTTCTCTTGCCCAGGGTGGCTGGTGGGTTCGAATTTCTGACCGTGGTTGGTAGCCCACATACAACATATAACCCTATAGGACGGGGCAGAACTGCCCCTATGGGTTTCTGAGACTAACCCTTTAAGGGAGTAGAAAGCCTCATCTTTCTCCTGATGATGATTTTGTACTTCGAACTTTACTGACCACGTCTTTTGTGTGGAGCAGAAAAGTTTTAAAAACCGGTATTTGTTATAAAAAGAAAGAAGGCTTTCAGAAATGTTTGTTATATTGAGTGCAGAATCCACATCTTGATAACCAGATTTGCCATCTTGTAACCCAAGTGACTTATTCAGGTGACCCATTTTTACCTACTTTATTTGCTAGAGGTGACTTTATCACCTTGAAAAGCTTCTATAATTCACAAATAACTTTAGACTAGCTAATTATTTTAGGATGTTTAGATATTTTATTAGTTTCATTGTACATATAACTTATTTTGCCTACGAAGTCATTTTAAATTGTATTCTATGGGAATGCACTTTAATTGCCTGAGGGAAGGTTTGCTCAGATTGACTTTGTTTGTGAGGTTGTATGCTAGCCCTCTTCTACAGGAAAAGGTTCTGAGCAGGGAAAGAACACAAAGGGGGTTGGTTCCACAGCTTCCCCCAAAATCCAGATTGCTTAGGCCTGCCTGGAGGGTTGCTCCAATGTGAGATGAACACAACCTAGATGAAGCAGCAGGTGTTGTGAGGGTTAAATGAGACTAACATAGTACACTTAGTACTGTGAAGCACAAGCCAGATCCACTACCACCGATTCCATTTCGACTCAACAGCAATAGGGTGTCAGGATATCCTCATGGGAGCAGATAGCCTCAACTTCCTTCTGCAGAGCAAGAGAAAGTGGAACGTGTACTAATGGGAAATCCTGTTCACGAGAACAGAATGAAGGCACAGCCAGAAAATTCTATTTACATGATTAAAGCAAAACCCTGAGAAACTAGCAAGTCAATGTTTTACGTTAGAAACTGCAAAAAACTATTTAATTATATTTTTATATTATGTATACCTGTGGTAAATGGAACCGTGATGGTATAGTGAGTTAGGCTGTTGAGAGGTTGGTGGTTCAAACCCACTAGTCATTCCATAGGAGGAAAATGGCAGTGAGCATCTGTAAAGATATCAAGAAGGCTAGCGTGTAAAAGAAGTAAAAATAGATCTTAAATATTTGAGTCACTTAGATTATGTGACAAATACATGGAATATTGTCTGTATCTGTAGTTTACTAGTGAATTGTACAAATGCTAATTTCCTGGTTTTGAGCATTGTGCATAACTAAGATGCTGGATTTTATAGGAAACTAGATGATGGTGTAAGGGAACTCTACTATTTTACAATTTTTCTGTAAATTTAAAAATATTTTAAAATAAAAAGTTTGATGGTAAATTTTTAGCTTGAAGCAGATCTTAAAGTACTTAGGGGAATTGAACTAAAAATCTTAGTGAGCGACTTTCAGGACTCCTAGCAAACTCTTGAGTCTTTGTGTAGTGCTTTTTGCTTTTAGATGATCAGTCCATACTTAGGGAATTGGGAGGGGATAGGGAAAGGGTAAGTAGGAAAAGGAAGATGTATGTACTCAGAAAATATTTGAGGAGGCTTCAAAAAGTTAGGGGAAAATGGAATGAAAAGATTATGGAAGGTTCCACAAACTTTGAAGCCTGCTTGTATGCAGTATGAGAACTACTCCAGGCATTCAGTTCCTATCTTTAAAAAAAGTTTCCTAAGGAAGCAGTTGCAATGTTTTTTTATCGCTAGGGTATTGCTTTTTCAAAATGACTCCCTTTCAGAAATAAGAATTAAATCACTAGTGAAAGCACATTGATAGAAAATTGGTTAAAGCAATAACACTAGGCTATTATGGCAATGGCTATAGGGCACAGGGACGGACAACATTTAGAAATTCAGTTTTAAATACATATTTTAAAAAATAGCTACTACAAGTGTAAAAAACTTAAGTTTAGCACTAGGTGCCACTGTTGAATGCTGTTTATCCTCATCTTGTTGCACATTATTTGTCTTGAAGGTTCCACTGTTGGTGTTTCAATTGAAGTCATTGGCAGAACTTGAACTACGGACTTTTGATCCGTTAGGTTCCCAAAAGCAAACAGAAGCATGCGAGCAATGCACACATACTTGTTTTGTTAGACACTTTCTGGGATAAGAGCAGGAACACTGGAGCTGTTTGTAACTCAGCATCGTATTTTCATTTGGATTAACTATCCTTGAGAGAACAGTGGTAAATTGTAGTAAAAGATTACTTTGTTTCAGTTATATTGAGACTAAATTAAGAGTTGTTCATTACAAAATAGACTGAAGACACTTTTAGGGACATTTATTTTCATAATAGATTTTTAGTAGAGAATTATGTAAATCCAAAGAGAAGAGTAATTCCTTTTTTATTTTTTACATATTGCTTCCTCTCCTGTCACCTATTCTCAGAACTGGTTGCAAAATAAGAAAATTTAGATTTCAATTTGTATGTGAAACTTAAGAGTCTTAGAATTTACATTATACTCCATGCAAGAAAAGATTTAAAGTGGAGACTCATGGGTGTATAAAGCATTTGTATTTTTTTTTATATGCCTAGCCTTTGATTTTGGAGTCCCTAGGGAGGCATGCTGTCATAGTAGGTTACACATTGGGCTGCTAAACACAAGGTCAGTAGTTTGAAACCACCAGCTGCTCCTCAGAAGAAATAATGAGGCTTTTTACTCCAGTAAAGAGTTACAGTCTTGAAAACCCACAGGGGCAGTCTGTCCTGTCCCTATAGGGTTGCTATGAGTTAGAATCAACTTGATGGTATTGCTTCTGTTTGTGTGTTGTTGTGAGGGGAGAGGGTGATGCAAATGGCTAGTGTGCTAATCACTTACTGAAAGATTGGAGCTTTGAGTCTACCCATGGTGCCTGGGAAGAACTTCCAATAATAAGCCATTGAAAACCCAATTGAGTCCAGTTCTGCAGTGACACATATGGGCCAACTAAGAGTTGGAATTCACTTATGGCAACTGGTTTGGTTTGAAGCCTTTGGTTTTTATTGGTATGAGGAGTTGGTCAAGGCTGAAATCTAAAGGCTATATAACTTGGAATGAGTTATTTCTAATCGTCACATGTATACCACTAAAAAGGAGTTTTTGCATATACAGGCAAATCTGAGTGGTTTTTTTGTTTGTTTTTACTAATATTTACTAGGAAATAGGCAAGCATGAAGTAGAACTAGAATAGTTAAGAGAAGATAAATAATGTATAAAGCTGACGGTTCGTAATTGTA